CGCATTTTAGGTTTTGGGGTACATGTGATGAACATGCAAGATTGTTGCATAGGTACACACTTGGCAGTGTGGTTTGCTGCTTTCCGTCCCCTCACCTGTATCTGTCATTTCTCCCCATGCTATCTCTTCCCACCTCCCCACCGCCCCGCCCCTCCCCCATTTCCCCCCAATGGACCCCAGTGTGTAGTGCTCCCCTCCCTGTGTCCATGTGTTCTCATTGTTCAACACCCACCTATGAGTGAGAATATACGGTGTTTGATTTTCTGCTCTTGTGTCAGTTTGCTGAGAATGATGGTTTCCAGGTTCATCCATGTCCCTACAAAGGACGTGAACTCATCGTTTTTGATGGCTGCGTAATATTCCATGGTGTATATGTACCACATTTTCCCTATCCAGTCTATCATCGTTGGGCATTTGGGTTGGTTCCAGGTCTTTGCTATTGTAAACAGTGCTGCAATGAACATTCATGTGCACGTGTCCTTGTAGTAGAATGATTTATAATCCTTTGGATATATACCCAGTAATGGGATTGCTGGGTCAAATGGGATTTCTATTTTTAGGTCCTTGAGGAATCGCCACACTGTCTTCCACAATGGTTGAATTAATTTACATTCCCACCAACAGTGTAAAAGTGTTCCTATTTCTCCACATCCTCTGCAGCATCTGTTGTTTCCCGATTTTTTAATGATCGTTTAATAAATGGTGTTGGGAAAACTGGCTAGCCATGTGCAGAAAGCAGAAACAGGACCCCTTCCTGACATCTTACACCAAAATTAACTCCAGATGGATTAAAGACTTAAACATCAGACCTAATACCATAAAAACCTTAGAAGAAAATCTAGGCAAAACCATTCGGGACATAGGTGTAGGCAAGGACTTCATGACCAAAACGCCAAAAGCAATGGCAACAAAAGCCAAAATAGACAAATGGGACCTAATCAAACTCCAAAGCTTCTGCACGGCAAAAGAAACAGTTAGTAGAGTGAATCGGCAACCAACATAATGGGAAAAAATTTTTGCAGCCTACCCATCTGACAAGGGGCTGATATCTAGAATTTACAAAGAACTAAAGCAGATCTACAAGAAAAAAACAAACAAGCCTATTCAAAAATGGGCAAAGGATATGAACAGATACTTTACAAAAGAAGACATACAGGAGGCCAACAAACATATGAAAAAATGCTCATCATCACTGGTCATCAGAGAAATGCAAATCAAAACCACATTGAGATACCATCTCACACCAATTAGAATGATGGTGCTTTTCTGACTCTGCACCAAGAACCAATGCTCCGAGGCGCCGGCAAAACCGCCTCGCCGGTCACAAGAGTCGCGCTGGCGACCTGTGGGGCTCCTCCGCTGGGAATCTCCTGGTGCGTGAGCAACAAGAATTCATGTGAAGGTGTGGCGTCCTCTCGTTCTTTGCGTTTTCAGTGGGAGCTACAATCCCAAGCTGCTAGTGATCAGCCATCTTGGATCCGGCTCTGTAAAATTTAAAAAAGAAAAACTTAATAGCAAACCAGTGGAAACAAACTCCTGTATCCAACAATAGGAGCTGGTTAAATAAAAATAGTACATCTATGTAATAGAATACTATGTGGCTGTTAAAATGATAAGGAATGATATTTTATTGATGTGGAATGAATTTAATAGATGTGAAGTCACTTAATGATTCAAGTGATTGAGCCAGAGAGTGATACATGTACATTACATAATATATTCATACACCCAACTCAGTTATAGAGAAATAGTAATTGGAAACACTGCATACTTACAATATGCCATGCAATGTTCTAAGCACTTTACATACATCATTTAATCCTCACAATCACCCTGAGATAGGGACTACTATTAATTTTCAGGAGAGGAGACAAACACAGAGAAGTATAGTGGCTAAGTGATAAAATACTGCAAATAATATTATTCTTCCTACTATTATGAGACATTCATTGTATGATTAACTTTTTTTTTGAGACAGAGTTTCCCTCTTGTTGCCCAGGCTGGAGTGCAATGGTGCGATCTCGGCTCACAGCAACCTCCACCTCCTGGGTTCAATTGATTCTCCTGCCTCAGCCTCCCAAGTTGCTGAGATTACAGGCATGCGCCACCACTCCTGGCTAATTTTGTATTTTTAGTAGAGGTGAGGTTTCTCCATGTTGGTCAGGCCGGTCTCAAACTCTCAACCTCAGGTGATCTGCCTGCTTTGGCCTCCCAAAGTGCTGGGATTACAGGCGTAAGCCACCGCGCCTGGCCGCATATTAATAAAAAAAAAAATTATTTTTATTTTTTAAGAAATTGGAAGGCATCTTTTAAAAAATATATATTTTATTGCGTTTTAGGTTCTGGGGTACATGTGAAGAACATGCAGGATTGTTGCATAGGTACATACACGGCAATGTGCTTTGCTGCCTGGAAGACATCTTTTAAAGTTTTCTTGTAAAATTCATGATACAAGTGGATGCCATGGATCCTGAAATCTGTGAAACCATAGCTAGACACTCCCCTCCTGCAGCCTCACTTCAGCACTTCCAAGCCCTCGCACCACTGCACTATGAAGAATTGATGGAACTCATAGTGACTTAAAAAAGAGGATGAGGAAGCTGGGCACGGGGGCTCATGCCTGTAATCCCAGCACTTTGGGAGGCTGAGGTGGGTGGATCACCTGATGTCAGGAATTTGAGACCAGCCTGGCCAACATGGTGAAATCCCGTCTCAAAAAAAAAAGAGGATGGGAATTTTTTTTTTGAGACAGGGTCTCACTCTGTTGCCCAGGCTGGAGTGCAGTGGTGCAGTCTCAGCTCACTGCAACCTCTGACCCAGACTCAAGCCGTCCTCCCACTTCAGCCTCCTGAGTAGCTGGAGCTATGGGCACATGCCACCACGACTAGCTAATTTTTGTATTTTTTTGAAGAGGTGGGGTTTCGTCATGTTGCCCAAGCTGGTCTCAAACTCCTGGCCTTCAGTGATCTGCCCACCTCAGCCTCCCGAAGTGCTGGGGTTATAGGCATGAGCTGCCATGCCCAGTCAAGGATGAGAACTCTAACAAAAGAAATTATTTTTAATGAAATATCAAAAGCATTCTTTATAAAAGGTACTCAAAGCAAATTGGTTTTGATGTGGAGACTGTAAATAATTGTCACGTTTTCCTCAGAAAACACAGCTTTTTACCCATTAACAGAACATGTTAAAATGTACACATTTCTTTTTTTTTTTTTTTTTTGAGACGGAGTTTCGCCCTTGTTACCCAGGCTGGAGTGCAATGGCGCAATCTCGGCTCACCGCAACCTCCGCCTCCTGGGGTCAGGCAGTTCTCCTGCCTCAGCCTCCTGAGTAGCTGGGATTACAGGCACGTGCCACCATGCTCAGCTAATTTTTTGCACTTTTTTAGTAGAGACGGGGTTTCACCATGTTGACCAGGATGGTCTCGATCTCTCGACCTCGTGATCCACCCGCCTCGGCCTCCCAAAGTGCTGGGATTACAGGCTTGAGCCACTGCGCCCGGCCAAAATGTACACATTTCTAAAGTTACTCACAGTTTTAAATTTTAACTTGCAAATAGTACAGGCTTTTTGGCTTTATATTTCCCTTTTCAAGTCATTTCCTCCACTTCACTGCTGGTGTAATTTCTCATACGCCAGTACTGCCGCCCCACCTACCCACCAAAGGCAAGACAGCCAGTAAAACTATAGCATCCTCTGATTTATCGACCTGCCATCTTCATGATTTCTGGGCTTTGATGAGCTGAATATGTCTGGCAACTTTTGGCATAGATTAACCATAGAGTTAACTGCAATTCTCTTGAGCACTGCTAACATGCTTCTGAGTAATAGAAATTGTCTTTTAACTCAGACTTTCGTAAAGGTGCAATTCTCTGAAAGCACCAAATGGGAGAGGTCTACTCTCTTACATGCCAGATCAAAGGCAAATTCCTGTTCTACCCTGATTTTTTATAATTTCCTCTTTCCTCTAGGTCCTCTCCTGATATTTCCAGACTTCCGCCTTGACAGGCAGAGATGCAGGTTTCAGGTCCTAGACTTCCCTCAGCCTGGGCTTTCTGTTGCCATCTTTGACCTCTTCCTTTGGTGCAGTTTTGTAACTGCATTCAGACTCAGACAGATACTGGTCACCTGGATGACTACTGGCATTGATCTCCTTCTCCAGAAACTCAGAGAGAATGTTTCTAAAATCCTCACCTCCCAATATAGGGGTGGGAGTGGTCAGAGAGTTATAAACTTCCTGTCTTCCAAGTCATGGCTTACCACAAGTCCCCAATCTGAGTAGTTCCAGTACAAATCTAATAGCTTTGTTTCAAACCTTTCCTGAAAAAATGCCTGGGAACTTAGAGGTCAGGTTCATAAGCCAAGTTTTGTTAAGCCAAAAAATCTAAATGAGTCTGGGCAAGGTAATCAAATACATAAGAGGCAGAGGCTCCAGGACAAATAAGGATATCCAATATTTGGGGCTTTCCTGGGTGCTAATAATGTCTATTATCTGTATTTATCCTCCAAGCACTCCTTTGTTCTGGAAAAGTGAATCCTTGTGATTTTTAGCAGCTCCCCAAAAGAGAAGATGTTAGATAGAAAAAAAAGTAACATAGACAATAATTACCTCTCATTCGTTGTGTTCCCAGCATATATAAACACCCTTCTCCCATTTATATGATGCCAAAAATGCTCCCTCTTGGCATAATTTAATTATTCCACATGCAACCAAAAGAGAGGCAACACATACAAACATTTCCAGCTACCATAGCCAGAGACGAGGTCATGAAGCCTTTGTTTATAGTTCACGTTCTCCCAGTGATGTCTTTTCTTTCTCTGGTTCTGCCATTATCCCAACTTGATATTCTATAATTCCATGATCCAAATAGTGAATTCACCACCACCACTCTATCCTATTTATAATGCTAAAGAAAGAAGAGGACTTTAGTCTTACGATGGCACAGTCAGGTTGAGCAGAGCCGGACAGCAACGACGTCGGACGTGACCATTCTTGGAACCATGTCCAAACACGGAGAAGCCCCCAAGGCCTCTACATGGGTCATTGCTGGCCGACGAAGTTCGACAGCGTCCAGGGCGCCAGAAAGGAGGTTGGCAGAGGAGTCGAATCGAGAAGGTCCGGAGGTATATAGGGTCGTCAGAGGTGGCTACTGGAGAGGCGCCTCCAGGCCCCCGAACGCTGTGGCTGCTGGTCATGGGGAACCGCCACCATGTTTCACTTTGAAGAACCACTTTGTTGGCGCGGTGATCAGTCGTGGTGGGTCGAAAATAAAGCATATACAAAATTCAACAAACACCGTAATTCAAATAATACAAGAAAGACCAGAATCATTAGTCAAAATATATGGCAGCAAAGCAATGCAAGCAAAAGCAAAAGCAATGATTGATAATTTTGTGAAAAAGCTAGAAGAAAATTCAGAATGCAGAGTTGATTTACCACCAATTAAGAAAAACCTTTAGAAAGAGTCGGCTGCCACAAGTTCAATGTCCAAGGTCCAAGCGCATAGTTGAAGGATGGGGAGAAACGACCTATCCCCAATCCAACCTGTGCATTTGATGACGCCTTTCATTACTATCCTGAGGTTATGGAAAACATTAAAAAATCAGGTTTTAAAAAGCCAACACCTATTCAGGCACAAGCATGGCCCATTGTTTTGCAAGGAATAGATCTTATAGGAGTAGCCCAAACTGGAGGGAAAACATTGTGTTATTTAATGCCTGGATTTATTCATTTGGACCTTCAACCAACCTTTAAAGGTCAAAGGAATAGACCCCGCATGTTAGTTCTAACTCCCACTAGGGAGTTAGCACTTCAAGTTGAAGGAGAATGTTGCAAATATTCATATAAAGGGCTTCGGAGTGTTTGTGTATACAGTGGTGGAAACAGATGAACAAATAGAAGAGCTTAGAAAGGCGTAGATATCATAATTCCAACTCCCGGAAGATTGATTGATTTTCAAATGAATAACTGTCAATCTGAAGAATATAACCTACTTGGTTTTAGATGAAGCAGACAAGATGTTAGACATGGGATTTGAACCCCAGATAATGAAACTTTTGTTAGATGTGCGCCCAGATAGGCAGACGGTTATGGCCAGTGCTACATGGCCATGTTCTGTTCATCGCCTCGCACAACCTTATTTGAAAGAGCCAATGCTTGTCTATGTTGGTACACTGAATCTTGTTGCTGTAAGTTCAGTGAAACAAGATATAATTGTAACCACCGAGGAAGAGAAATGGATTCACATACAAACTTTTCTACAGAGTATGTCATCCACAGACAAAGTCATAGTTTCTGTTTCTCGAAAAGCTGTCGCAGATCACTTATCGAGTGAGCTAATACTTGGAAATACGTCAGTAGAGTCTCTGCATGGAGATAGAGAACAGAGAGACCGGGAAAAAGCATTGGAGAACTTTAAAACAGGCAAAGTGAGAATACTAATTGCAACTGATCTAGCCTCTAGAGGGCTTGATGTCCATGCTATTACACGTCTATAATTTTAACTTTCCACGAAACATTGAAGAATATGTACACCAAACAGGGCGCACGGGAAGAGCAGGGAGGACTGGTGTTTCCATTACAACTATCACTAGAAACGATTGGAGGTTTGCCCCTGAATTGGTTAGTATTCTGCAAAGAACAAATCAGACTATTCCTGATGACCTTTTATCAATGGCTGAGAGGTTCAAGGCGCGTCAACAGAAAAGAGAAATGGAAAGAAAAACGGAAAGACCTCAAGGAAAGCCCAAGAAGTTTTAATAATGTCTTCTGCACTAGTGTGGTAGACAAGTCAAGATTTTTTAGAAATCTAATAAGATGGAAGTATTGGATGTGCTGGCAATATGAACAGACTGGAGTGATTCAAGTGATTCTTAGAATAATAGTGTTTGAAAATGTAGAATTAATTGTTTTATACTTTCTTTAATAAAAGTAGAAGTATTAAACTTGAAAAAAATAAAGAAGAGGTGAGAAAAGTTTTTTAAAAGAAGACAATGCACAGGGAAATACAAGTAGAGGGTAGAGTCTTCGTTTCTGTAAATAGCCATGTTATTTATGATTTCTCTATCACTTCCACATTCCCTTTGCTTTAGCCACTGGAGAGGCCCAGTCCTTCATTTCTAAGCAGATTGAGCACTTGGGAGTCCTTTGCAGGGTTGCAATATTATGTCATGCACCCCTCATGATTGTAGTATAAGATACCTTAGAGGACACCCTAAGAATCATCCATATTACTCTGTCCTCATTTTATAGCGGAAAGAACAAAATCACCTTTTTTTTGGCCTGGTTCTGGGAGCTAAGAGTGGCTTCAAATTCAGTGAAACCATTGTTTTATCCCCTAATAACAGTGTTTCTTCCTAGGAAATTTAAACCTCTAATCTAGTAGAGATCAGAGTTGTAGGTATGGGCAGCAAAACTGTTGCAGTGGATCAGGCGTAATTATGGAAGACATCTTTACTTCCACTCCTCTGCTCCTGGACTTGCTTATCTTGGCAGTGGGAGGAATAGCTCTATATACTGGTGGCTGGTTCACAGTCTATATTACATCCTAGCAGCCTCCACTGTGAGTCTCCTATTAGGGGTTGCCACAGGCTCCATATAGCATTCTTTTTTTCCCCTTTATTTGTAGAATTTCTGTTTGCCAAACCCATGTAGCATTATGATTTACTCCAAACATCTTGGGCACCATTGGATCTGCTAGATGATAATGACCAAGGGGCAGATCTACTAGCACGGTAGCCTACAACAGCTAGACAGCCTTGTTTTATCTGCGGATCCATACTAACTACATGTGGCAGGAATAACATCTGTATTTTCCAAGTCTTGAATAGTGGCAAAAATCCCTGAAATTCCCCTAAGAACATGCTATTGCATTCATTTCCTTTGTTGATGAGGAGGCGGAGCTCTCAGAGCTTCCATTTCCCCCCTGCTTACCTTATAACCCTTTTCTCCAGGGGCAAGGTAGCCCATGTGGCCATACATTGGCGACTAGCATCTGTTTTTGCCTGGAGATTTCTGAAGTCAGGAGGCTTGCCTGTACCAGCAGGGTGAGTAGGGACTATGATAAGGCGGAACTAGAAAGAAACGGATGGGGAAAACCTCCCATTCTATGCCTTTGCATCTGCATTCCTCAAAGGGTGCAGAAGATAACGATAGTGTTTTCCATGACACCATGTGTTGGAGTACAGAAGTTAGAAGAAGCGACAGAACCTCAGGGCAGACCCAATAGTCACTAGCCAGATGAGGAACACTCCATCTGGAAGCAATGTGTGGGTGCTGACTGATGCTGAGCCTGTCCAAGCAGTGGTGGAATAATCCCAGAGGAGGGGTTCAGGGTCTCACTCAGCTTACCAGCGGGCAGACTTGGAGAAAAAGCTTGTTTCCCCTAAGCTCCTTAAATGTTTCCTTCTCTCTGAGGTAGGCACTACTGCAGGGGTGTTCTGGTCTATTGGCTTTAACATTAACTTAAAGTCAGTTTCCAATTTCTTCCCTTCTTCCTTCCTTCCTTCCTTCTTTCCTTCTTTCCTTCCTTCCATCCTTCCTTCCTTCCCTCCCTCCTTCCTTTTTTTCCTCTTTCTTTCTCTCTTTCTTTCTTCTTTTGAGACGGAGTCTTGCACTGTCACCCAGGCTGTAGTGCAGTGGCGCGGTCTCACCTCAGTGTAATCTCCACCTCTTGGGTTCAAGCAATTCTCCTGCTTCAGGCTCCCGAGTAGCTGGGACTACAGGCGTGCGCCACCATGCCCAGCTAATTTTTTTTTTTTTTTTTTTTTTTTTTTTTTTTGTATTTTTAGTAGAGACGGGGTTTCACCATGTTGGCCAGGATGGTCTCAATCTCCTGACCTCGTGATCCGCCCACCTCAGCCTCCCAAGATGCTTGGATTACAGGCATGAGACACCGCGCCTGGCCCCTTTTTCTTCATCTCTCTCTCTCTCTTTCTTTTTTTTTGGGGGGTGGGGTGGGGTGGGGGAACACAGTTTTACTCTTTTGCCCAGGCTAGAGGGCAGTGAAGCGACTGCTGCTCACTGCAACCTCTGCCTCCTGGGTTCAAGCGATTCTCCTGCTTCGGCCTCCCGAGTAGCTGGGATTACAGGTGTGGCCACCGCGCAGAGCTAAATTTTTTTTTTTTTTTTAGTAGAGGCGGGGTTTTGCTGTGTTACCCAGGCTGGTCTCGGACTCCTGACTTCAGGTGATCCACCCGCCTTGGCCTCCCAAAGTACTGGGATTACAGGCATGAGCCACTGTGCCTGGCTCCAATTCATTTCTGAAAGCTTTGGGGCTATCCTTTCCACTGTAAGTTGCTAAGGTCAATGGGGTACAAGTGCTTTTGGGGAAAGATTCACAAGTGTTATAACAGATTTCTTACTCAGGTTCTCCTGATCATCCCTCATTTTAGAGGCTCCGGGTCTGTGTAACCAATGACTCATGCCTGTGAATTGTACGTGAGCTATTATTCCTCTAGCTGTTAGGCTAGTGTGATGACTCAAATGCAGGCACCTCTGTTGGCTAGACCAGATAATCATTTTGGTAGATTTCATTTATGGGAACTGCAAAGTTAATTATCCATAGCCAGAGATCCTTGCATGTCTGGAAGCTTAGGCTGCCATAAAAAAATACTACAGATTGGGTAGCTTAAACAACAGACATTTATTTTCTCACAGTTCTGCAGTCCAGAAGTCCAAGATCTAGGTGCTAGCAAGGTTGGTTTCTGGTTGGTTTCCTAGGAGAAGCTGCTGCGGACAGTTATTGGCTTCTTGGCCACAATAGGCTCTATAGAAAGAACATGCTTGTGGAGTGATAGACATTCGTTTGATTAAACCATTGCACTGTCATGCTCAAATTCATCCAATAAATTGCTCAACGTTTCTGCTTGTGCAGGCACAGACTAAAACCAAGAAATAGACTGCCATCTAGAGTCCATTTATATAACAGGCAAAAGGGTTCAGAGATTATTTGTTCTACCCAAACATGGGCAAGTCATTTCCCCGCTGGGATCTCAATGTCCTTGCCAGCAAAATAAGAATGTTGTCTTAGACCTATAGTTTCCAAACTCAGCTCCACAAAGCATACATGCCTTTAATGGTTTGTAATTAGAGTTGCCCATCAGAATGATCCATGATCCTTGAAAATATACATATCCCCATGCTTCACTCTAGATATTCTGATTCAGAAGGAGGCATGGAGCAGAGTCAAGGCCTGGACACATGTATAAAACAAAACAAAACAAAATTTCACAGTTGCTTCCCAAGCCCTCCCCAGGTAAGGAATCTGTGATATAGATGTTAATAGGTACTCCTTTAACAATGGTGCTATGGTTTGGATATGGTTTGTTTGGCCCCTCTAAGTCTTATGCTGAAATTTAATCCTCGATGTTAGAGATGGGGCTTGATGGGAGGTATCTGGGTCATGGGGATGGATCCCTCATAAATGGCTTGGTGCCATTCTCACGGGAGTGAGTGAGCTCTCACTCCTAGTTCCCCCTAGAACAGGTCTTTTTTTTTTTTTTTTTTTTTTTTTTAAGATGGGGTTTCTCCATCATGGCCAGGCTGGTCTTGAACTCCTGACCTCAGGTGATCCACCCACCTCGGCCTCCCAAAGTGCTAAGATTACAGGAGTGAGCCACTGCTCCCGGCCTTTAGAACAGGTTGTTAAGGGCCAGGTGCGGTGGCTCAAGCCTGTAATCCCAGCACTTTGGGAGGCCGAGGCGGGTGGATCACGAGGTCAAGAGATCGAGACCATCCCGGTCAACATGGTGAAACCCCGTCTCTACTAAAAATACAAAAAATTAGCTGGGCATGGTGGCGTGTGCCTGTAATCCCAGCTACTCAGGAAGCTGAGACAGGAGAATTGCCTGAACCCAGGAGGCAGAGGTTGCGGTGAGCCGAGATCGCGCCATTGCACTCCAGCCTGGGTAACAAGAGCGAAACTCCGTCTCAAAAAAAAAAAAAAAAAACAAAACAAAAAAAAAAACAGGTTGTTGACAAGAGCCTGGCACCTCCTTCTCTCTCTCACTCTCCCTCCTCCTCTTCTGTCATGTGATATCCATACACCAGCTCTTCTTTGCCTTCTGCCATGAATGGAAGCTCCTTGAAGCTCCAGGTGCTAGTGCCAAGCTTCCTGTGTGGCCTGCAGAGCTGTGAGTCAAATAAACGTATTTTCTTTATAAATTACCTAGTCTCATGTAGTTCTTTATAGCAACACAAACAGACTAAGACCAACGGCAACCAGATTTCCTCATTCCAGGGCTTCTGGAAGCCTTGAATATTCTAAAGTACAGTGCAGATATCCCAATAAGTATTTATGTAACGTGCCATTTACAGAGATGTTTGACTATAGAAACAACACCTACCAATAGCTGAGGCATATCAGTGATCCTCAGATCATAGTTGAGAATATCCTAGGCTAGTAAATATACAGGGCCACTATGAGTCTACGCCCAAAGATTCTAAGTAAACATTTTATTTTGATGAATCATTGTCCATGATATTAAGGAATTTTCCATGGGGAAATAGCATAGAACAACCTTACGGGGTGCATTTTCAAAGTGTCCTTAGCGCCTTCTATGAAATATTTTGTCAAATAACGAAATACTACTGTGGTTTCTAACATTTTTGGCAGTTTGTCCTTTTTTATTTTAAACTTTAAAATAGAGAATTGAAGAATAAGAGAGCTGAACATACTGACATACTGATTATTTGGAGAGAAACTTGGGGTTCACTATATCTAACAAGGTGATCCTCCCACGTCAGCCTCCTGAGTGTAGCTGGGACTACAGGCATGCACCACCACTTTCAGCTAATTTTTTGTATTTTTTGTTAACGAGAGGGTCCTGCCATGTTTCCTAGGCTGGTCTCAAACTCCTGAGCTCAAGGGATCAGTCCACCTCAGCCTCTCAAAATTCTGGGATTACAGGTCTGAGCCACCTCGTCCAGCCCTGTTTTATTTTAA